TAATTTTAGAACAGATGTTACAGATTGTTTTGAAATCCTTACCTTCCTAAGATTTACTCCATCTTCTCATTTTACGGTTCAAATCAAGACGTTGCCTTCTGCTTACAGCCTGATGAGCAGTAACAAAAGTTCCTAGCTTTGTAAACAGAGCTGTACAAAAGTAATCGTTGTAATAAAGTTGCCTAAAATGTCTTTTTTTTTCTGCAAAATGTGCCGTACACAGCCCATCGTCTTCAACTTTGCCGTTTTCATTTTATGATTTTTTTACAAGAGAAAAAATAATGAGCCTTGCTGTCAAGCAATGAAGAAAATAACAGCAATCAAACCTTCTAAAACTTCCTCCTAACGCTGAAGTTGAGCATTTATGACATGATGTCTCTATTCCAAGAAGATAAAGACAAGGTATTTAATTTCATCTCCTGGTACCATCTCAAAACAGATAGGTCCAAAGTGACCCGTGTTAGAGTCTGAAATCTGATCCAGATCGACCCTTCTCCAGCTTCTGCAGTTCTTACCCTTGGAGTGTGGAGGAATTGTTTAGGGTTTTGGTTTCACCTGTTTTCCCAGGCATACCATTAAACCCTCACCTGAATTTCCAAAAAATCCAAGTACATAAGTACTACAGTAAGGAGCACAATAACATCCAGCAGAATCTATTTGTACTTTGTGTGATATAGGAGTCCAACCAAGATGGATGTCAGAGCTAAGTACAATACAAACATCACAGAGAAACAGTCTGTGCCTTAAGGAGTTTACAATCTTGGTGGAGGGAATACCTGAAAGTGTGTGGGGAAAAGAGAGGTGACAAGTGATTTGTCCAGTTTCATTCCAGAGGATGTCAGGAGGACCACAGCCGCTGTCAGTCAAGGAGTCTGTACATTGTCCCCCTAACAGAGCTGAGAGAGATCATTTCATTGTTCTGGATCAGACACATTTCTTAGCTATTAGATATCTCTTTGTATGTGTTTTGTAATGAATTGGTGAGTTCAGAGAATCATAGGATCATAGAATGGTTTGGGTTGGAAGGGACCTTAAAGATCATCTAGTTCCAACCCGCCTGCCATGGGCAGGGACATCTTCCACTAGACCAGGTTGCTCAAAGCCCCATGCAAAGAGAGGAAATGGAAATTGTGTTGCTGCTTTATATTTTATGAAAAAAAGCTGAGGCAGAAGCCTTTGTCGAACAGTCTGCCAATTGTACAATATTACATGTGATTAAGGCTGCTGAACAACCGTCCTCTGTTAAATAACATTATGAGACCAGAAATGCAGTTAATACGAGATTACAGTCCAAGACACAGTCAGTTCAAGACTACTCTTTAATCTCAAAAACACTTTAAGCAATAGTTTTGCTTACCATGGCAGGGAGATACATTCCTCCTCCACTTTCTCAATTCCTTTATACCAACCAAAAAAGTTCTAAAGCCAGCACCATATTTTTCTCAGACCGAAGGAAGATTTTGCTTCAGATCTACAGAAGTCAGCCAAATTTTTGAAATTAACATTCACAGCAAAGCTAAGCTCTCAACAATCCTTTACCAGGCAAGAGATCTATTCAAAAGCACAATGATTAGTGTGCATTTGTCCATTAAATGCCAAATTTCTTCTTCAGTAATGAATGCAAAAAAAAAAAAGACAAGAAAAGAGAAATACAAATTTACATTGGGCAAACAAACAGCTTTTTAGATAATTCCATGAAGCTGGAGGAAAAACACAAATAGACTATCAGAAAAGGACTAGGATTGTTATAAGAGGTGCAGAGAATAGTATGACAGTAATTTTACTGCATAAACAATCATAACTAAAAACGTAAACACAATTATAATGGTTTCTAGATTTAGAACAGCAAGGGGAAACATTGGACCACTATCTCCGGGCTAAATGTAATAAGCTACAAAAACAAAGGAATGCAAACCTTTTGGCTGCTGTATGTCACATCAATGCAGTAGATATTTCATAACCCTAGGAAATGAATGATGTGCAAATGCCAATATTGGTTCTCTTCTATGCTGATTTGATGGCATTTTTTTGGTGTCAGCTGAAGTTAACAGATCTGGCTGAGAGAAGTCAGATCTGTCAATCCTTTCATCGTTACATGCGTATCTGTAAGTTCCACTTTTCTTGGAAATGTAACATTTAACACCTTTCATCCTTCCGGTCCTTGACACAGAAATCATTTACACTTTTAAAGGACTAATGTACTAAAACATCTTGGGTAGAATTTACAACTTAAAAGCATTTGAATAACATCAAAAGTTTTAAGTTACTGAATAAAAACAGATGAGATTACAGACTAGAGTACTGATGCAGAAGGTTATGTAAACAAAACCTTCCAAGAAAACATCCATCGTAGTAGGAAAGCAAAATAAAAAGAACAAGTATAAAAGCTTCTTAGCTGTTACTATCAAAACCTAAGCACTAGTATACAGGGAGAAAAATACTGATACATTTGTGTTCATTCAGCAAAACAGCTTAAAGTATATTTAAAGATCTATACGGTTGCTGTTGTCAGGCAGGGTGGAATGGATAAAGGGAAACAGCACTCAAACACAGACTTCTTCAGTTGTTCAGAATTTCTGCAAGACCCTGAGGAAAAGAATATAGCAGAATCCATCCTCTCCTCCATACAGCCCCCCCATACACACCCCTCCCTGCTCTGCTGGCCCTCTCCTACAGGCTGATATCAGTCAAGCCTTGCTGCGGAGAACACCTTTCCTTAAGGATGCTTAGTCCTATTTAGGGTATCTAGTGCAGACGTATTTTTGCAGAGATGTTGAGAAGAACAACATAACCGACTGAACAGAAGAGGGAGAAAAGATTACCTTTGTGGTTGACCCTTTGCAAGGATATTAAGATAAACAAATGTTTTCCGTGCCCCTTCCGTTCTCCTTGGGACAGACATTATCAGACTCATTAAGTAAAAGGGGCCAAGCTCTGCACTTCTTCTGGGCAGGGATATATAGATCTGAGTTGGCCTTATGACATATTGGTAAAACTAGCTTGCAGATCGCTGTAGTGGAGGTAATAGCTGCAGAGTGATTTGATACAGTTTCAAGAGCTGTTCTAGCTTCACGCAACAAAGCAATGTACAGGCTTTATGGTGTGCAGCGTACAGGCTTCTTCCTGAATCTTGCAAGTATAACTTGGGTGTAGGCTTTCCCTTTTCTTTCCAAATATGCACACAACACTTTGTATAGAGGACAACGTAAGGCTTTTTTTCCTAAATCCCATGCTATTTTTTCTTTGAGTGACACTGAGTCACCTGAGCCATTCCATAGAACCCTTTCTGATATTATGAAAACCATCACTCTCTTCCATGAGGTAAAACAAATTTATCCCTACTCAGCAGATTCTAGTGCTAACAGAATAATGTGTGTTACAATTTTGTGTTCATATTTGTATTATCCGGTAAGTCAACTCTTGGGAGGCATCAAATTTGTAAGATTAAAAATATAAGCCTTCCCTTGCCTACTCTTTTTTTTTTTAATTTAGAAAGAAATAAAGTTCACAGAAGATTCACTGGTACCCTTCTGAAATGAAACCTTGATAGAAAATCTTACCTTTCTTAACACT